GGTTTCACCATGTTGACCAGGATGGTCTTGATCTCTTGACCTCGTGATCCACCCGCCTCGGCCTCCCAAAGTGCTGGGATTACAGGCGTGAGCCACCGCGCCCGGCCAATTTTTGTATTTTTAGTAGTGACAGGGTTTTGCAATGTTGGCCAGGCTGGTCTCGAACTTCTGACCTCACATGATCCACCCACCTCAGACTCCCAAAGTGCTGAGATTATAGGTGTGAGCCAGCATACCCGGCCCATTCTCCCTTTTAATGTAAAAAGAAACAAAAGCATGCCATAAAACAGTCAGTTGGGAATTCATCTTGAAATATTTGCAGATAAATTAGTATGATATCTGGGATTGCTTTAAAATATTTCAGGAAAGAAAGAGAACTAAGAGGGAGCGATAAAACAAGATTGGCAGAATGTTGATAATTGTTGAAGGGTACATGGGATTCATTGTACTTTGTATATGGAAATTTTGTATTTGTGGCTGGGTGTGGTGGCTCATGCCAGTAATCCCAGCACTTTGGGAGCCTGAGGCAGGTGTGGATCATGTGAGGTCAGGAGTTCGAGACCAGCCTGGCCAACAAGGTGAAACCCTGTTTCTACTAAAAATACAAAAATTAGCTGGGCGTGGTGGCACATGCCTGTAATCCCAGCTATTTGGGAGGCTGAGGTAGAAGAATGTTTGAACCCTGGAGGCTGAGGTTGCAGTGAGCCGAGATTGTACCATTGCACTCCGGCCTGGGCAATGAGAGTGAAACTCCATCTCAAAAAAAAAAAAGAAAAAGAAAATTTTTTATTTCTTTGGAAATTTCCAATATAGGCCAGGTGTGGTGGCCAGTGCCTCTAATTCTCGCTACTAGGGAGGCTGAGGAGGGAGGACTGCTTGAGGCCAGGAATTCAAAGCAAAATCATAGCAAGATCCCCTCTCTCCAAAAAATTTTTAAAAAATTAGCCAGGTGTGATGGTGTCTGTAGTCGTAGCTACTTGGGAGGCTGAGGCAGGGGGATTCCTTGAACTCAGGAATTTGAGGCTGCAAGAAGCTATGATTGTGCTACTGCACTCCGGCTTGGGTGACAGAGACTCTGTCTCTAAAAACAAAGGAAAAGGAAAACGAAATGTCCATGTTAAAACATTTTTTAAAAAGCAAGATCCTATTTTTTAAATATATACACACACATACTCCACACACATTCAAAGGGAACAAATTCCCTGAAGAAATATGCATGTAACAGGGTTGGGTATGGTGGCTCATGCCTGTAATCTCAGCACTTTGGGAGCCTGAGGTGGGAATATAACTTGAGCTCAGGAGTTCACAACTAGCCTGAGAAACATAGCGAGACCTTGTCTCTACTAAAAATCAAATAAATTAGCTGGGCATGATGGTGCATGCCTGTATCCTAGCTACTTGGGAGGCTGAGGTGGGAGGATCACTTGAGTCTGGGAGATTGATGAGCTATGATTGTGCCACTGCACTCCAGCCTGGGCAACAGAGTGAGACCCTGTCTCAAAAAAACAAAAGAAAGAAAGATGCACCTAACAGTGGTTATTTTGCAGGGTGGAGATTTTGTGGGTGACATTCACCATCTATATAATATTTCTGCAATGTTTGAGTTGTTTAGAGACAGCAATATTATTTTTAAAGTCAGGAAAAAACAGTAAAGATTTTCTAAAAGAGTATACAAGTTGCTTTAAGAATTCAGAATTAATGTTTTTTCCCTCTGACGCACAAGTCAAGGCAGTCACGCGTCAGCTGGCAAAGAGCCCTCGGCTCCCATTGATGGAAACACTGGGTGTAACACAGACCGACCCAGTGAATTAAAGGATAAGGAAGGTGGCACAGATTTCTTCCCCAACAGTGGGAATAAAGGTGGAGGGGAGACAAAGAGGAAATTTGATGCTTCCAGAGCCTTCCTTCCCAGGGGTGGAGAGCCCGGCACAGAGGTGCTGGGTGTCGGGTGACGACCTGTCACGGGATCAGGGGCTTACTTTGGATTCCTTGTGAGTGGACATGCGGAGGAAGGTGAGAAAAACACTTCGATGGAGGCGCTTCTGCATGTCAACAACCTCAGGGGCTGGGGCCACCCACTCGTCAAACTTGCGGGGGACATAGCGCAGGTAGGAGTCCAGGCACTTCTGTAGGGTCTCGTCAAAGATCACCTAAGCCAGGAGACAGAAGAGAGCGAGGATTTATCCCTGATGCCCCAGGGGTTTGTGGGTGGACTGTGCAGGGGCTCAATGCCCATCAGCCCTGCCCTATTGCAAACACTCTGACCCCAAGGGACCAAGGAGTTATGAATGAACTGAGGGCTAAACACAAGATTCTAAAATTGACACTTTGAAAGGTGTGTAAACATTAAGATTGTGATACAAGACAGAGCAATCCAAACCACAATTTGCTGTTAAGGATCCAGTGTAAGAAGTAGACAAAAAAGCACTTCCTAGGGGAAGAAAAACAACAGCAACCAACCAACGGCATGTCATGTGCTTTGTCTTAGCGTTAATTTTGATAGAATGTTACCTGGCACCAGAATTTATCGTGAGGCAAGGCCAGGAGCCAGTCGAGGTCATTGGCTACGAAGGTGGCGCGTTCCAGGTACTCCTCCACTAGGGCGGGAATGTTGTCTTTAGGGGGCGGTTTGTATAACACAAAATACCGGTCTGCCTTCTGCTCGGGGTGCTACGGATCCAAAAACCACGTGTTAACGTGGCAGAGGTTAGTCAGCGAGGGCCCATTTGCCAACCCACAGCAATGATAACACCTGGCTGTTCCAACCGGTGACCCTCCAAGGAGCTTTTAAGCATAAAGAACCAAGTGTATCTAACAAAGAGGGCATGGTTGCATCCAGTGAACATGAGGTGGTAATTAAAATCCATGTTTTCAGAGTATATTTCACAACACGGGGAAAGGTTAAGGGAAGAGAAAGCAGGATACAAAACTCTCTATTTAATATAATCAGTTTTTGTTTTTCTTTTTTAGTAAAAGGCAAAAGATTTATTTGTTCTGAAGAAAAACCAGAGCATAGTTTTTGGTTTTTCAAAACTGTAAATATATTCACACACTGGTATCAATTTTTAAAAAAGAAGTTGGGGAGATGACACCCCAAAGCTAATAGTGGTTATCTCGAATGGGTGTGGAGGGTAGGAGAATTTTGGCTTAAATAGACTTTCCCATTAAAAAAAAAAAAGGAACATATATTCATATATTACTTTTTTTTTTTTTTGAGATAGGGTCTCACTCCCATTGCCCAGGCTGAAGTGCAGTGGCATAATCTTGGCTCACTGCAGCCTCTACCTCCTGGGCTCAGGTGATCCCCCACCTCAGCTTCCCGAGTAGCTGGGACTACAGGTACGCACCAGCATGCTCGGCTACTTTTTTAAATTTTTCAGTAGAGTTGGGGTTTCGCCATGTTGCCCAGGATGGTCTCAAACTCCTGGGCTTAAGCCATCCGCCTGTCTTGGCCTCCCAAAGTGCTAGGTTTACAGGCATGAGCCACCTTGCCTGGCCACATATATTACTTTTTAAATTAATTTTTAATTATATAATTTGACATGAGCGTCTTTTCTTTCTAAAACTTACAAGAGAGCACAGAAGGTGAGTCACCTGGGACTACATTCCCATGCCCCCTGCAGAGGTAACCACTCACAATCTGGTGGGTGTCCTCGCAGACCTCTTCCAGGGATTTACATTAAATTATACCCATAAAAATGATTTGTTTGGGTCTGTTCTTTTCTTACACAAACAGCATTGCACTCTTTGTATCACTATGCTGTATCCTTTTTATAACCAGAAAAAAAAACCTCAGTAATTTTTTTTTTTTTTTTACAGAAAAGATTCTAATCAAGTAACTGTAAGTGGCAGCTTACAATAACAAGTTCTCCCTTCTAGCCCTTACTTTGCCATGAACAAACCTTACTTTGTTCACCATAAAGAAGAGGAGATGAGTCACTTTTCTCCTCTGACTATATAAGGGGTGCTTTCTCCGGGGAAATGGTAACAGGAGGATGGCCAGGCAGTGTGTCAGCTCTTATCAACCACAGTCCATTTACTTCCAGGTCTGTTGATCCACGGGATATAGAAAAATTGAGACTGATAAGAAGTCAGCCTCAAGAACCATCTATACCTTCCTACTGCCTTAGGCAGGTTTCCAAACTGTAGAGCCTGTGGGTACCACAAGGATTCTTCGAGGCCACCTATCATGTGGGTCTGCAGGACCCCCTCCCACTTAAATCAAATTTAAATCGTGGAACTGTAGGTACAAATCTGTTGAAAAAGATTTCTGCTGGCTAAAACAAGTTCAAAACAACTGTCAGGAGCCAAAATACATCTCCTTAGTTTCCAAGCTTCCTCCCTCCTCTATCTGTTGACATTTTACCACTTCCCTCACTTCTCACTCAGGCGAGGCTACTTATTCTTCCGACACACACACACACACTCACTCTCTCTCTCTCTCTCTCGTCTCTCTCTTGCTCACTCACTCAGGCCAGGCTACTCATTCTCCCAACACACACACACACACACACACACACACACACACAGGACACCCACCCACCCACCACTGAGATTCTACTTTCCCTGCCATCCCACAGGGGGAAGATGGACATCTAAATCACCAAGTGAGCACAAAACAGAGGAAGTGACAGCTCAAACCTGGCAGAGGGACTTTGGAAAAGCAAGAGGGAATTAATAGCACCTGGAGGATAAGGGATGATTGCAGAGCAAGCAGCCTTCCTCCAAGGCTCCAAGCATTCAAGCCTTGGAGGATAAGGACTATAAATGAAAGAAACAACATTTTTATGGAGGCATAAACATGGGCCATGAAAAAAGGGCACAGATTGCACTGGGCAGGGGGAGACACATTTGGCGAATGCTGGAATGATGCAAATGAAAACCGCCACTTATTGTGGACTTGCCCTGTGCCAATTGCTAAGCAGGCACAACATACAGCCTATTTCTTTTTTAATCTACAAAAACTATTTAAAAGAGACATAGTATTGGCTGGGAGCAGTGGCTCACACCTGTAATCCCAGCACTTTTGGAGGCCGAGGTGGGTGAATCACCAGGTCAAGAGATTGAGACCATCCTGGCCAACATGGTGAAACCCCATCTCTACTAAAATACAAAAATTAGCTGGGCATGGTGGCATGCGCCTGTAGTCCCAGCTACTTGGGAGGCTGAGGCAGGAGAATTGCTTGAACCCAGGAGGAGGAGGTTGCAGTGAGCCGAGATCACACCACTGCACTCCAGCCTGGCACCTGGCGACAGAACAAGACTCTGTCTCAAAAAAAAAAAGAGAGAGAGAGAGACATAGTATTCATCCCATTTTAGAGGAGGAATCAAACAGTAAGGTTCAGAAACTTTCCCAAAGTCATGGGATTAAGGAGGCAACTTAATGTTGCCAAAGCTTACATTGCAGACCTATTAAGTGACCTGCGGTATCTGTGTGCCATCCTGATCTCACTGCTCATCCTTCTGACCCCAGCTCTGATCTCACCTCCTCCAGGAAGCCTCCCTGACTCCCACCCCAGCTAGATTAGGAGCTCATCTAAGCTCTCCCTCAGTACCTGCATTCTGTGCTCACCTCTCTATGCCACTTGAACAGCATTAAAAGTGCTTTCAGACCAGTGGTTTGCATGGGGAAAGGGTGGGAAGAAGGTATGGATTGCAGAGAGGCATAAGACAACTTTTAGGGGTGGTAGAAATGTCCATTAATGATGATGATAGTTTCATGCATGTATACAGATGGAAAAACCAGTCTTACTGTATATTTTATGTTTTAATTTAAAAAATTTTGGCTGGGTGCAGTGGCTCATGCCTGTAATCCCAGCACTTTCAGAGGCCAAGGTGGGCCAATCACTTGAAGCCAGGAGTTTGAGACCAGCCTGGCCAACACTATGAAACCCCATCTCTTAGCAAAAATACAAAAATTAGCCAGGTATAGTGGCACGTGCCTATAGACCCAGCTACTTGGAAGGCTGAGGCAGGAGAATCGCTTCAACCCAAGAAGTGGAGGTTGCAGTGAATCGAGATCATGCCACTGTACCCCAGCCTGAGAAACAGAGCAACACTCCGTCTAAAAAAAGAAAACCACACA